TTATACAATCCTATGAAGTTCGCTTTATTATGCTAACCTATAGATAGCCCAAGTTTATGATGCTTATGGCTACGACAGGATTGCTTACTTCTCTATTTTTCATTGATTACTATAAGTAAAATCACCAAGGATGTATACTATGACAGAATCGATGCTTCAGTATTCTACTGAATGCCGACATCAGTATGGTCAGTGTTTCAATGACTCTCAGTGTGTCAGTGTACGCTGATGTGAATTCGTCAGTGTTACCAGTGAACATCAGTGTCAGTGACATCGGTGACAGTGTTGTCAGTATTCCAGGGAACACTGTATTGGTGACTCTGATGTCAGTATTTCAGTATTTACACTGACACTGCACATCCCTACACCCACCCCACACCCACACCGACACCCACTCCACTCCACGACCACATCCACCCCGCACCCGCACCCACATCCACGCCGACACCCACACCCATAGCCGCACATCCACACGCTGCTAGCATCCGAGATCATTACTTAATATTCATCGAATCCTTATTAATAGTATCCCCCTTTGTCTAATTGTGCCCATTCGATGACACGTTATTCTTTTCATTTGTTGATGTTTGAGGTTTTTGATACAAACTTTTCTTCATAAGATTCATTTCGGTCATCAAGGTTCACAATACCAAATCGTCATGGAACAGTCAATCATTTCGGCTCAGAAGAATTTGTATTTCTATTAGTTGATTTCTTAGATTCGAAATAGTCACCAATCGCTCGATCTTCGCTCAACATGTTCGTAAAAGAAAAGGAACACAAGAGGAATGTGATAAATATTTATCGACTATAGAGTATGAGAATAAAGTTGTGGGATGAGAAGTGCGGACGAAAATTTGGTGAAACCATTTGAGGAGACAGCGGCAGGAAACAAATATGAGACTCGATTGCACGGAATTGTGTGCTATATCAAGGTATTGAAGAGTTTTTTGCTATCTTACGAAGCTCTGATAAACAAATCTAGAGAATAAATCGATATGCACTGAAGTAAGGATATACGAGCGTGTACTGAGCGTCTATGCGCTTTTGTAATTAAAATAAATGAACTGAAAATCATTCTGAACGGAAAAAAGTTTGATAATCAAAAGCCTGCAATGTTAATGACTGAAAATATGCTTTTATAAATTGTCATTTATGTCCATCATCAAAAGAATTAAGTGTGTTCGAGTTTACATGGAAGACTTTTCAAAAGAAATTACGGTCAAGTAAGATCCTTAGAAGATTTTGCACATAGTAATCGCGAAGTCAAAGAAGCAGAATAGCTGAATTTCAGAGACAAACGAATGGAAATCATTTATAATCAATATTAAATCGTAATATAAATTGATAAGCGAATTGGTAACGGAAAGTATCGGTCTTGTTCGGAAAGAATCAAGCAAGACCTGCGATCTCGCAGCATTGCGTATGACTTTCTGTTTCTTTTTCTATTCTTTTCTTTTTATCAAAGCGGGCGCACATTTTCAATTGTTGTTGTATGTTGTTATCATTAACATTTTCCAGATTAACGAACATAAACACTTGCTTAACAAACAACGTGACATCAATTAACAGAAGCTAAACAATAAACGTCTGGTTGTTCAAATATTAGTAACTAATCAATATAAGACGAAGTAAGTGGAGCATTGAATTGATTTCTATTGGAATGATTTCGAAAAACTCTGCATTGAAGATCAATCAGTAAGTTTAATCATTGTTTTCTTCTTATGTAACAGAACTAGCTAAAAGTCGAATTTAAACAATGTCGAAAATTGAAGAGCAATCAGTTGTTCAAGTTGTTGGACCTTCACAAAATCCCATAACAATTGGTCAAAGATATGTATAAAAAATTGAAGAAAATTTCCTATTTCGTTTACTTTGCTTTTGTTTTTCTTGTCTATATTACGTTGACTCAATTTTTTTCTTCAATGACGATTGTCGACAAGGTTTTTTTCGGAATCATCATTTTCTTGACGGTATTTGGTATTATTGTGGTTCCTGTATTAAACGCAAAATTATATGGCATTCAAAAAAAGACATGTAGGTGAATTTATGGTATAGAATTTTGATTTTACTTCAAAAAAAGAAGTATTTGTCTCAGTCAGATACGAGAGAGAAATAATACACTTGAAAGGTAATATTAGTGATTATCTAGAGATTTAAAACAGACACATCCAATCTAGCATTACCAATAAAAAATCCGATATGAAAGCGCAGTTCTTTTCAATTTCCAAGCAAATGTTTTAGAAATGTTACTGATGCAGAGTAAGACGAGTGAAACAAAAAAAGGCTATGTGCATTCTACAGAAATCTATGAAATTTGAAAATTTCCCAAATAGAACAGATGCAAAACTTATAAGTGAGATATCCATATCGTTTATGAAAAGTGAACTGATTTCTGAAAGAAAACAAACCGTATATGTAGAATTCCCTACTGTTTGAATTTGATCTCGGTCTTCAAATGAAAATAGAGTGAATTCAGACGTAAATATATCCTATCGATCTATTGTGTGGTAGACATCAAATAAGCCAGAAGATCTCTTTTCAAAGCTAAGAATGAATAGTGTTTTCGTAGAACTGTTTAGTTAGAAACCATTTCATAGTCAAGTTTCCATCAGCTACCTATTTACTTAGACATAAGTTCGTAAGAGACGTGGCAAAAATAAACGATTGCAGCATTTTTAAAACTTATTTTGTTGGATTTTTATCTCACATAGTTAGACCTTCTGTACAATTTCTTCATCAATCTTGCCACGATATAATATGCACTGATCAAGATTTTAGGACTTTTCCCCGCTATTCTATGGATGTTATCAATGCAGAGACAGAACTCCAACCACACGAATGTTCTTAATTATTTGTCAGACTAGAATGCATTTTATGATGTTTTCTGAGAATTTTGAAACAAATGATGTTCATGAACAAATAAAACTAATATACCATCGAATACTAAATGTTTTCCGTTTTAATTGAGTTTACGTTTATAGTTGTTTATATGCATTGTCGAAATATAGTCGATTTCTTAAATAAGAAATTTCTTATTAGCAGATCAGACATTATCTTCTTCTTCATATAATGTATTTCGAGCAATACAAATTCTCTCTGAACCATCGGAAAGGCCTTGGATAAGCTTATTTCTCGTAGTGATATTTGCAATGTTTTAAAAGTAGATATTTTTTTAGTTGTAGCACTTTTCGAATGTTTCTTTTTTGCAACAAAAAGCGAGAATTTTATTCTTACCTAAATGGAATAAACGATTTGTGTATGGAAAAACAACATCATTTTCAGGAAAATCAGCGAAGTGAGCTGATCCATACAGTCATTTAAAAGTATGATTCTTTTCAATAATCTCGTTGCTATTGCTAAGTTTGATCTAAAGTAAGTTGCTGGAAGGCATGACTTTTCAAACTCTCTATTATTCGATGATATTTTTCCTATGTTCTACTCTATCCTACCCTGTTTTGTTGAGTTCAAACTTTATGATCATAAAATATCGTGCAGGTTACAATATTTTGGTCCGTGATATTTTGCTCTGCAGCAGTTTTTCGAAGATTTATTCATTTCTGTCCAAAACATCATTTATATCCGAACGTACATTTTTGTAGGTCTTTCAAAGACAGTCATTTCCATTGAATTGGATCTACAATCAGACAGCGTAAACATCTCATTAACAGTCGCGTAGGCAAAGAGAAGACTTTCCTCCGAAAAATTCCCTGTAGATAAATACTGGTGCAAGAGATGCTGAGTTACAAGTTATTGAACGTCCACTGAGGGTCTTCTTATTAGAGGTCCTTCTCGTTGTCGTAAAAAATTCCTGCATAAGTCACTGCTTACCAAGTATTCTCTGAATGTTTCGACTCATAAACGAATATCTTATGTCGTTTATTAGAAATACGCTAAGCCATGCTTTTGATTAAACGTTTTATCTTTCAATGACAGTATCTCTTTCAAATTTATACCTAATGAAAATCCAATGTTTAGTGCGAAGTGGAATTGATCTGTCCACTCAAGCGTATCTTTACACACGAAATATTGTGCAAATAAACGTAATACAAAATCCGCTTATATCGCAAACGATTATCATATCTCTAAAGTGAAATCTTGTTTTGACTAATCTTTATTTTTCATAATGGTAAGGAGGAAAAATAATATAAATTTTTGACTAGTGTAAATCAGATTGTAGATAGTTATGTAGCGACTTATTGAAGATAGTTTATGTTTATGACTTCACAATGAAAAGTGGAAATGACAAAAGAATTAGAGAGCCATTTAGTTTTTCGCATCAATTACAATAGTCATTTTGGTGAAAGCCGTTTGAAAATCAGTATTGAAATATTTTGATATTCTAAACTAAATAAATAAATATTTCATGATTTATCTTTCCAATCATTTTTTTTCATAATTATATTATCATATGAGTTCCGTGACCCTAAAATCCGAAAAGAATGTTGATAGGTTTGCCATAGTCTCTAACACTTTGAAAGGGTTCTTTGTGGCAAGTTAGTGGCGTGAAAAACATGCCAAGATACTGTTGTTTTGATGCTGGAACTTATCATAATAAATAAAGAAGAAGTCTTACATTTTAATCTCGAAGAGATTGCACTAACAGCTTTTCCATAGAAGTTCACTGTCAAAGCTTAAATTGAAAAGTTTTTCAAGAAAAAGAAAAATAAAATCATATCGGATATAAACTCGATCGATGAAATAAGAAAATGTTTGAAAACTGTTTTAGTTTTAGTCTAAACACGAATAATTCCGGAATATATTGAAAATCGAAAACAGTTAGATCAATTGCGTGGACAAAAACAGTGAGAAAGAAAGTATAATGGTTTTTTTCTGAAATCGAGTTACAAATACTCTGCTAAGTTACACATATTTTGAATGTTGTATTGCTTTCTTCAAATTCAGGCACTTTACCATACAGCTGGAGTACTACTGGCGTCACCGTTCTCGATAAAACAGCCTTTACTTCACCCCAAGGTATATTCATTAGTGGTACCAACATGTTGTATCTAACAGATGCTGCAGATACACCAGGTATATATCAAATGGCAAATACAGCAACATCAACAACAGCTTCAATTACAGATAGTGCTATGAATACGCCACAAAATGTAGCTGTTGATGGCACAGGTGTTATTTACGTACCAGATTATGACAGTTCATGTGTTTATACATATGCTTCTATATCGGCTACCGCTGGCTCTCGAACAATAAAAGCAGGAACTTGTAGTACATCTGGTAATAGTTTAAGTTTATTGAACGGGCCCAGCAGTGTATCACTTGACTCAACAGCAAGTTATATGTACATCTGTGATGCCAACAATGATCGAATTATACGATTTTTGACGACTGCAAGCTCTGGTGATAATGGAGTTGTAGTTGCAGTAAGTAGTGATTGTACATGGACATTTATAAGTAGGTTGATTTTTCTGATGTCAAAGTGAATATTGTGAAAAGACGATTGGTAACGTGTCTTAAAGTATATGTCCTGGAAAGTAAGCCACCCTATCTCCCATCTCATAGATCATCACAGACATTTCGACATGCTATTAGAAATTGTCATCCTATAGAATTATAGCATTTTGGCCTATGGTTTTTGATTTTTCAGACAATGAATTACGAATTTTCAGAGCATGTTATTGCTAAGCTTTAGATCACAACATAATAGATATGGTGAAAATTCGATCAATATTGATGTTAAAGTAAGAAGAGAAAGAAACGTTAACTTCGAGTTCGTCTAACGTATTGTGACAAACAGACTGAACTGAACAAGACTTCCCGGCTCGCAGATTGCGACCGACCTGTCGATATTCTTCTTTGGATTATTGGACCATGGGATTTATATTATTATACAAATGTTTGAATATTTATTAGTAATATAGATTTCGTCGTCGAGTAATCCAAAAGATCATGACTGTCTGTCTGTTATGTATCTCTGTGACAGACAGGAAACAGTATCACCTTTCTTGCTCCACAGTTCAGCAGTCATTTTCAAACATGTTTCACAAAAATATTGCCAAGATTTCAGGTGAATCACAAAAGTTAGTTGGCATCTGAACAAAAAGCAATAGTATTTTTCTATTCTTAAAGTCTTTAAATAGTACGAATTTATCGATCAGTAGTCACTCTATGAATAACAGTAACAAGATTTATTCACAAATGTGACTATTGAAACAGCAAATTGTTCGCTCAATTTTCTTCACAATCAAAAATATATTAAGCTATTGAAATTCTGAAAGAAATTTTGTTAAAAGTTATTTTGAAATTTGTAATCAGCATCAGTTGTGGCGTAGAATTTAGTATAACACAATATTATGAAGGTGGCCGATCAATTCGTCGCACGACAATTCGTCGCGTACAATTCGTCGCACGATCAATTCGTCGCACGATCAATTCGTCGCATGACAATTCGTCGCGATCAATTCGTTGCACATGTATTGTAGAGAATACATTGATTGAATTAAGTGATTTAGTTTAGAATGTTATCTAATTAATCGTCTTAACAAAAATTTTTCTTTAGACTCTTAGGAGTCTTTTTCAGAATACAATGGTTTTTTCAAAAATAAAATA